TGGTGAAAGGGGAACACTCCTACACTGTTGGTGGGAAGGTAAATTGGTCCAGCTGCTGTGGAGAAAGTATGGAGGCTCTTCAAAGAACTACCATATGATCCAGTAAATTCCACTCCTGGGTATCTACCCCAAGGACGGGAGAGCACTCAGTCGGAAAAGTGCTTGCAAAACTATTTTCATTGCAGAATTATTCACTATTGCTAAAACATGGAAACATCCCAAATGTCCACAAACAGATGAAAAGATTGAAAAATCATGGCACCATGGAATACTATTCAGCCATAAAAAACAACAAGGCCCTGGAATTTGATAGAAAGTGGACAAATATGGAAGATTTGTTGCTAAGTGAAGCAACAGGCTATGAAAGAGAGACATTATATAGTCTCCACTTAACATATATCGACTGTCCACACTCTACAGTAAAGACTGAAAGACTAGAGAACATAAAAGTATTAAAAATTGTGGGACCAGCAGTTAGCGTAATGTCTATGTTGCTGGACTCCCATGTAGTCGACTGTGGTTCAAGTCCCAGACTTGGTAGCTTAAACTCACTTCCTCTGGGGGTGTGTGTACGTGCATGCCCAAGATCCCAAGAGAAGAATCACCCCTCCTTGGGGGTGATGTCTGGCTTTCTGTCTCTCTGTCTCTGTCTGTCTTTCTGGTGAGCACATGTACCCTATTGCAAAAACCTCTCCAAAAAAAAAAAAGGATTAAAAATTGTAATGGACACTAGAGACAAAGTGGAAAGAGAGTTTGGGAGCAGAAGAGCATAGGAAAGGAAATTTGGGGGGGAAATGGAGAGGTAAGACACTTGTGGGACACAGGTAAGGTTTATTATCTGTTGATGAGGATGGGTATAATAGTCTCAACCAGGCTGAACTGAGGTGTATATCATGTTGGGTTAAGTCTCTTCACAATCTAAATGATGTATAGCAATTTAATGTATGAATAATATAAATAGAGAACTGGCTCAATCTGATTTTGGTTGCATTTCCTTTTTCTTTTTCCTTTTTAAAGGTTTCTGTCACAGAGTATGAGCACTTGCCTGAGAGAGAGAGAGAGAGAGAGAGAGAGAGAGAGAGAATGAAAGAGAAAGTGAGAAATCACCCCCCAGAGCGGATGGTCACACTGCAATCCCTTCTCTTTCATTTTCTTCCTGGGATTTGGGCATGCACACACACAGGTCTGGTGTGATTTTCAAGTCACCAGGTCCAGGACTCGAACTGCTGTTGGGCATATAGGAATCTGGCACAAAACCAGTCCAACACCTGCTGGCCCTTCACATTTTTTTTTCTATCGTAAGAAAGTATGTGCATTTTGGTAAGCCTCCTCATATCCTATGTCACATGCTAGACTCCTCATGTCCTTGTCCTTTCCCAGCAGGATTTGAGGCTCTGTTGGCGCCCTCCATAGTGTGTATAACAACTTAATTTAATATCCTTTCTATTCACCAAGAGATGTCGCCTTGTTCAGGCATTTTGATTCAATCGTAGCAGACTAATTATAACTAGTTTTCACTAAAGTAAGGTTTTAAAAATTCTGCAAGCAGTTTGATAGCATTTCATTCGATGTATATACATTTAAGGCTAACTTGCTTTTGTTTTTAGTTTTCATTGTCAGAGGGCATGTGCATTCACCACAGATAAATGGAGACAGAAAGGGACAGAAAGGGAAAAAGCACCCCTCATGGGGCATGGTCATGCCGCAATCCCTTCATCATTTCTCTAAGCGGTCAGGATGTGGGGCCTCACACACACGTGCACGCAGCGTGCTTCTCAAGACAATGGGGCCAGGACCCAGGAGAGCAATTTGAGATGCACTTCTCCCACCAACTAGCTGTCGTTAACTCAGTAGCCTGTTTCCTCCTCGGCATAGTCAAGGTGGTTAATATCAGCCCTGCCTGTTTGACAGCCTGTTACGGGGGTCAAATGAGAAAGCATGTAAGAAAGTGTACAATAAACCCCTGGGGAGGTGCAAGCAAAGTAAAGTCCAACTGCTGCTTGGATAACAGCATCAGATATCCCCTCCATTCCTGCCACAGCTGCCTCGCCGTCTTCTACCTCCACAATCTGACCTCTACAGAGCAGCCCAAGCGAGAGTGCAAACATAATTCAGATACACAACAGATATAAATCAGATCTGCTTGTGCCCTGCCCTAAAACCCTCCCAGGGCTTCCATTACACTCCAGTCCAAACTCCTCCGCGCAACACCGCACACCACGGCTTCAGTCTCCTCGCCTCCACTGTCACTGCCCCTTCTTCCACGCTGGAGCCACATATATCTTTTGCTTCTGGAACCTATCAACTTTATTTCTGCCTGTGGCCTTCGTGCTTGCTATATGAGGGGGCATGAAAAGGTGTGTGGAAAAGTGGAATTACAGTATGAGTTTATTTTGGTGCAAAGAAAATTTGAAATCCACACAAAACTCTTCCACAATATGCATTTTCCAGAAACTTCCTGAAGGCCCTGCATAAGTCCACCAGGAATGACCTTCCTTCAGCATCTGCAGAGCTGGCTGAGGATCATGTACGTGGTCAAGCCCTCTCTGCCCTTCTACTTGCAGGAACCACCCCGCCCCTGCTTCACTCTCTATCCCATCTTCCTGCTTTGCTTTCTTTGTGACCCTTATTGCTCCTAAAGCCATCCCCACTGCCTCCATGCCACTGACCATCTCCCTCCCTGAATGGGCGCTCCTGCCACATGGCAGGTGTTCTCTCTGCTCTGCTGGGTGAGTGAAGAAAATACTTGGATAGCACTAACAGGGATGAGGACACAAATGCTCTGGGGTTTGTTCTCGTTACCTCGTTCATCGGCAGAAACTGTAAACTTGTGTGGATTCTGACCCGTCCATAATCCGACATAGCCCACAAACGTGGTTCCAGTGAATGCAACCTGAAATCAGGAGATGGAGCACATTTTACTACCCGACCAAACCCAATGCACATTCAAATAACCACTTTGCCCCACAGTTTCCTGGATTTCCTTCCTACAGCTCCAACATAATATAGAATAATATCTTGCAATAGGATTTTAGATCGGGGTGAGGGTCCACGGATAGAATTCAGTGGATTTGTGGCCTTGGATGGGAAGGAAAGGTACATCATTATTTTCACTATCCCTGAGCTGCAATTTGACTCCTTCTATAATAAATGCATGTGACAAATCATGCAGTAATGCTAGTGCCTCTGATTTTGTCACCAGTAGAAAACACAAGTGTTGGGCCGGCAGGTGGTATGGTGGTTAAAGGTGCTGGACTCCCACATGGCTGACCATGGCTCAAATCCTGGACCTGGTGGCTTGCTTTCTCACTTTCTCTCTCTCTCTGATCAAACTGGAAAATAATAATAAATAAAGTTAAATAAAATAATGCTTAAAAAAAGATGCTAGTCAGTAGTAAATCTTAAAAAAGAAATCACAGGTGTTTTCATATACACGAGAGTGGTTTCAGGAGAAACACCACCCATAGTTGTCAGTGCTCTGAAATCATGGTTGTTATTTATTTATTTATTCTTTAGAATTATTTTATTTAACTTTATTTATTTTATTTATCTTTTTAGAGGGACAGAGTGAGAGAGAGAAAGAGAGAGCGAGGGAAGTGAGAAAGTAAGCCACCAGGTCTAGGACTTGAACCAGGGTTGGCCAAGTGGGAGTCCAGTGCCCTTAACCACTGCACAGACTGCTGGCCCCAATCATGGTACTTATTAGACTCACTGCTAAATCTTACCATTTAACATGTTAATAAAAAAACTACTACTGAAATAGTACCTTTCAACATAACTGAACTTTTTTTTTTTATTTGAGAGATTTGTGCCATAGGGCACAGGTGCTCACTGAAGAGATAGACAGAAAATGAGAAATTACTCCTGAGGGGGATGGCCACACCACAATCCCTTTTCCTACATTCTCCTCTTGGGATTTTGGGCATGCACACACGCATGCGCACGCCCTGGCATGTTTCAAGCTGCCAGGTCTGGGTCTTGAACTTTGGTTGGCCATACGGGAGACCAGCACTCCAACCACTATGCCATCTGCTGGCCCCCTGAATTTCTTTGTAATTCCATAAATTTTATGTATTTATGAAACATCATTCACCAAAAGGAACCTAGTACAAAGAAGTTAAGAAATTCAATTCTAAAAGTAGCAAATGGGGTCTGATTTAAAATTTGTTGGCTTTGGGACCAACTATAGGATAACCTCCACTTTAAATTAAGGTAATGAATTCCAGTGAGTACAAACTATTACATTACCCCAGAAGAAAACCAAATCCACCAGTTATTTCCAATATCAGATTTTCTTTTTTTTTTTCAAGAGAGATTTTTGCTGTAGGGCACATGTGCTTGCTGGAGAGACAGAAAGTGAGAAATCACTTGCCAGTGGGGATGACCATGCTGCAATCCCTTCTCCATTCTCCTCTCAGGACCTTGGACACACATGCACATACACCCGGTGTGAGTCCAGCAATGTAATTATTATGCCATCTGCTAGTCTCAGATTTTCCTTTTTTTAAAAAAATTTTTATTTATTTATTTTTTTGGAGAGGTTTTTGCTTTAGGGCATGTGAGCTTGCCAGACAGACAGAGAGAGACAGAGAGACAGAAAGCGAGAAATCACCCCCCCCCAGGGGGGATGGCCATTCCGCAATCCCTTCTCCTCCATTCTCCTCTCGGGATCTTAGGCACACACACACACACGCCCGACGTGAGTTTTAAGCCACTGGGTCTGGGACACGAACTGTGGTCAACTACGTGGGAGTCCAGCAACATAGCCATTACACTAAATGTTGATCCCACCTTTTTTTTTTTTTTTTTTAAGTTCATTTATTTGCTCCTTTTATGAAAGAAGGGGACAGACAAAGACAGAGAGATAGCATCCCCAACAGGGTCCCTATGCCATGACCCACCCCCAGCCTTAGCCAACCAGAATCCTGGGCATGTGTGCACTCAGTACCTACAGGGAGACCTCAGGACACAAACCTGGGACCTTTCTACACAGATTCGGCATGGAGCACGGTGTTACTGCCACACCACTGTGACTGGCCTAGTACCAAACGTTCTTTTTCAAAAAAGTACTTAAAATGGTGCCAGATTCATACTCTAATAAAAATTCTCTAATAATTTTTATAGTTTGAGACAAATAGGCTGAGGTTAATATTTTTTCTTAGAAAATTTAATTGTACATCAGGGCTGACAGGTGGCATGGTAGTTAAGGGTACTGGACTCTCACATGGCTGACCACGGTTTGAGTCCCGGACCTGGCGGCTTTCTCTCTCTCTCTCTCTTTCTCCCTCTCTGGTCAAATTAAGATAAATAGATAAATAAAATAAAGTTTAGTAAAATAATTCTTTTTTAAAAAAAGAAAACATGGGATTGGCAGGTGGCATAATGGTTAAAGTGCTGGACTCCCATGTGGCCGACCATGGTTTGAGTCCTAAACCTGGCGGCTTGCTTTCTCACTTTCCCTCTCTCTTTATCTCCCTGTCTCTTTCTAGTAAAAATGAAAATAATAACAATAATAATAATAAATAAAATTAAATAATCTAAAAATACTTAATTGTACATCAATAACTTTTTTCAATTAATTGCTTATTTTCACCTCGTCTAGTTGTAAACATAATCTAAGGTGGCTACATCACAAGGGACAATGCAATGGCCTTAGTTTTATCAACGATCTGTTTCTCTAGGCTTACCAAAGGCCTTGTGTGAATACTTCATTCATGGCACTCAATGGGAATAAGTCTACCTTGCTACTAAAATCCTTAAAAATGTAACTACAAGGCCAGTAGGTAGCATAGTAGTTAAGGTACCGGACTCCCACATGGCCAACTGCAGTTCAAGTCCTGGTCCATGGGTTTGTGTGTGTGTGTGCCCAAAATCCCGAGACGAGAATGGATTGCAATGTGCCCTTTCTGGGGGGCGATTTCTCGCTTTCTCTCTCTGTTTCTCTCAGTATATCTGGCAAGTGCATGTACCCTTTAGCAAAAAAAAAAAAAAATTACATGGAGAAACAAAAGCAATTATATGGTTGTCTCATTTATTTTCATTACATTTGCTCTTTGTGTAAGATTAACTGTTACTGTGTTAGCCACTTTCCTTCAGGAATTTACTATGACAGTCATAATAACATATTGTCACTGCTGCCAATCATTTTTTAAGTAAATCTTCAGCTAGAAATCAAATTGTTAACAGCATAGAAGTAAAGAAATGAAGTTAGGAAATGGGGAAGCTTCGCTTTGACTATTTCTGCATTGTTTGAATTTTTTATGAGGAAAAGTCTCTGTTTGTAAAAGCAGATGACTAAGTGAGTATTTCATTTGTAGTATTTGTGACCCAACTCCTAAATGCAAAGAACAAAAATACAGTCTGTCCTAAAAGCCGAATTCCGGCTTTTGTGATGCTCTCTTTGTTGTTTTTGTTTGTTTGTTTTGTTTTGCTATAGGGCATGTGCTATCGCCACACAGAGACAAAAAGAGAGCAAGAGGCAAAGTGAGAAACACCACCTGGGGATGGCCACACTGCAATCCCTTCTTCTCTATTTGCCTCTCAGGACTTTGGGCACAGACCCACATTCCCAGCATGACTTTCAAGCTACTGGACCCAGGACTTGGACTGTGGAGTGGGCCATGTGGGATCTACCACTTTAACCACCGTGCCACTGGCTGGCCCGCAGTAATCTATTCTGTTTTGTAGCAATAATATGGTTTATGTGCTCAGTGTACATGGTTGAATTTTGTCCATCTGTCTACAAATTTTCAGCCATGTGACAACAGAATATATTAGATTGTACTTTGAAAGGGACCCTACTGAAAACAACATGCTGTAAGTGTATTTTCTCTAAGGATTATCCACAGGGAGGAGTGTGGGTCAGTTGTAGCTGTCCAGTGAAGCACCATTTATTATGTGGCCACTATTTACTTTTCAGCACTTACCACGTGTCACTCAGAGATCACTTCGCTTAACTTTCACAACTATTTCAATAAAGTAACTACTAGCCTCTGAGCTATATTCTGCAAAACAGGAAGTAAATGATAAAAAGAGGATTCGAACCTGGGACAGGCAGACCGCAAAGCTGGGTGTTCCTAGTCACTACCCAGACCAACCTCTCCCTACTCAGGAAGAAGCCTGAGTAGGGAGAAAGCAGAAGAAAGAGCCAATGCAGCATCACAAATGGACTTTCAACCAGATCCCCAAAGAAATTCCCCTAAGGAAAACGGACCTCTTTGAATCATGCTCAGTAATAATCGATGACTTCTTCCATAAGCTTAACTGATACAAATTTCTCTCCTGGTTTTGTTTTAGCAGGATTTTTTTCTAATAGACTTATTTGTTTGATTTTTATTAATTATTATTATTATTATTCAATTTGACCAGAGAGAGAGAGAGAGACAGAGTGTGAGAAAGCAAGCCACCAGGTCTGGGACTTGAACTGCAGTCAGCCTTGTGGTAGTCCAGTGCCTTAACCATCATGCCACCTGCCATCCCCTCCAAGGGTTTTTTTTGTTTTGTTTTGTTTTGTTTGTACAGAGATTTTTGCTATAGGGCGTGTGCTCTTGCTGGGGAGACAGAGACAGAAAGCAAGAAATCCCCCCCGGGGGGGATAGCCACTCTGCAATCCCTTCTCCTCCATTCTCCTCTAGGGATTTTGGATACGCACACACACACACTTGCTTCTGATGTGAGTTTTAAGTCACCAGGTCTGGGACTCAAACTGCAGTCAACTATGTGGGAGTCCAGAGACATAACCATTACACCATTTATTGGTCTGAAGGGGCTTTTAATATCTTACACTAATAACACGCCTAAGCTAGCAGGCCATCTGAATCATTGCTAATTTGGGTTAGTGAGTGTTTGCTTTCTGTATCTTATACCATATGGACTATACCTGCCCATTCTTTAAGAATTGCACATCCACAGTCAACTTGCGTAAAATATTTGCAAAAGGATAATCCAGATTCCGGCCATGGTAAATGTGGCCTCTGGAGTCTTGAGCCACAATACTGGTGCAGAATCTAAGAAAAGGGAAAAGTCCGACATGAGTGAATGAGATGAGTAAGAACATGGAAAACAAGGTTTTCATTTTTGAAACAAACCCTCAAAGTGAGTTTTTTCTCCCTTGTAACCGATACATATGACATAATCCTTATACAAGAATACAGATTCACCGTTCAGCCTAAAAACCACAACTGCTCTCGGCCTTAGCACCGTTTTCTTGGAAACCTCTGCGCTGTGACAGCCAAGTGGAGGAGGAAGCAGATGCACAGGCTCAAGTGTCAAAGAAAGATGAGGCAGAGGTCTGAGGAGCAGCTAGCTCATGCACCTATGGGTCACAAGAGCAGAGCCGGACCATCAGAGGCTTCGGATGCTGGTACAGGGTGAACTGTAAGCTACGGAGAATTTGTCTCTCCGTGGATCTAGAACTTCCATCGCCACCTGATCACTAAGAGAGCTGCTGAGAGAGACCCACATTGCTCATACGAACACAGCCCTTACTATCCTTGGGCCTGGACCTACAGCATTCTGAGACTAGCACTGTTCCTCATGGTCAAGTGTAATATGTGTAAAATCTTCTCTTCCTTTACAACACACACACACACACCTGGGTAACTCATGTGTGTTCATTCAGTGTTACTAGAACTTTGCCCTTGGCGTACACGGAATGCCTTCTGGGCTTGGCTAGGCCTCTGAGCTCAGCTCCGTCCTCTGCTTAGCAGTATGGATTCTTTCTAAGTCAGTATAGAAGGCTAGCTCAAGTTTGCATCTCTATACTGTGAATTTCTCAGAGCAAATACAATGGCATTAAATCATTCTTTCCCACAATATTTTCTTTTACCCCCTGGGGAACACGGTTTCGCTCTTATGGGCATGGCACTTTTTCTGTCTCTCTCAGAGCTCCTTGCACAGGACTAATAAGAGAAAAGTATCCTTCAAGACTTCCCACGTGAGCTCCATGACCTGGTGGTTAAGGCAGACAGTTCCCATCGGGCTGACCAAGAGGCTCAAGTCCCAGAAGCTTGAGAAACACACTGGGCACCATGTGTGTGTGTGTGTGTGTGTGTGTGTGCGCGTGTGCACACGTGTGCCCACAATCCTGATGGGAGGGAGACATGGAAGAGAAGAGATTGCAGCATGACAATCCCCGTGAGGGGTGCTTTTCCCTCTCCCTTTCTCTCTGTCTCTCTGGAAAGCATGTATGCCTCTAGCACAAAAAGAAAAAAAAAAAAAAAA